GACTGTGACACAGACAACAGCCCAAACCAAGTTCAGTTACACACTCTGTGATACTGTGACACAGACAATAGCCCAAACCAAGTTGAGTTTCACACTCTGTCTGTGAGACTGTGACAGAGACAATGGCCCAAACCAAGTTCGGTTATATACTCTGTGAGACTGTGGCACAGACAATAGTCCAAACCAAGTTCAGTTACACACTCTGTGATACTGTGACACAGACAACAGCCCAAACCAAGTTCAGTTACATACTCTGTGAGACTGTGACACAGACAACAGCCCAAACCAAGTTCGGTTACACACTCTGCGAGAGTGTGACAGAGACAACTCACCTTTCCAGAGACCGATGCAAAAATGCCTATCTCCATGTACATCTCAGTTCATAACTAAGTGTAAGGATTTTGTGTTTAAATAAGAAAAATATTGTAATATGAAACCATGGCATCTCTCATCATCATCATGCTAACCCGAAGAGCACGAAGCATAAAGACAGTTTGTCTCCTCACACGCATGGGTTCTCCTTTGCATCCCAGCCCCACTTGCTGATGGTGGGGATGTGGGAAGGACAGGAGGCTGCTGGGAAGTGCTCGTCCTGGACACTTGTGGGGTGTCCCAAGCCACACCCTGAGGCATTGCCTTTGCCTGCATTCCCGGACCTCTGAACCCACCTGGGGACAGGGGTCTACCTGGGGAAGAGCCGCCATGGCAGGGAAGGGGCCCGGGGGCAGGCTCACCATGAGCACGCCGAAGGACCACCAGTCGGCACTCTGTGTGTGTCCTCGCCGATTCACCACCTCGGGCGCCATGTACTCGATCGTCCCACAGAAGGAGTACGCTCTCTTGTCGTGGTCAATGGCCTCCTTACTCAGGCCAAAATCTGCATGCAAACACAGCACACGCACTGCCTCAGTCTCTGGGTGTGTTCAGGGGTCCCCACGCAGGTGGGCATCAGTGTCCCTCTGTGGGCCCGCCCCTCTCCAGGTGGGCACAGCAGAGCCCTGCTCAGTGAAAGCAGTGCCACGTGAGCGCTTCCTGGAGCTCATCAGTACCCAGAGCCCACTAGTGCCTGAAGCTAAAATCCTCAAAGCGTGAGCAGTTCCTTATGAATCTACATACCCAGGAAACACCACCCAGACGGCAGATGCTTAGCCACTGATGGGAACTCCACAGAACCCTCTTCCACAGGCACATGGAGGTGGGCGCTGCAGGGCAGAGGGACCTGGGGTGGAGGGGCAGGTGTGTGGCTGATAGCTACCGGGAAGGGGCCTCCGGCTGTAGGGGAGCCAGGCAGGTGGTCAACTTGCCTGCCCTGACAACGCCAGGGTGTGGAGAGCACAGATGGGCGGAGGAGGCCTGGGGAGCAGGGGCCGAGCTATGATGGAAGAACAGGTTTCACCAGGTGCCACAGAGCAAGGAAGGGCTTCTGAAGGAAGTGGCCCCGGGACTGGAAAGAACAGGAGTGCACTAGCTCAGGGCCTGCAGGTCTGGGGGATGACAGAGTGGCTGCGTGGAGCCGAGGCAGGCCCAGCCAGTGGTTAGAGCAGCAGCACCCAGAGAGGCCACGGCCTTGCCCCCCGAGCCTGGGATGGGCCACTTACGTGGCAGAGGGACCAATATGGTTTAGCTGTGTCCCCACCCAAATCTCACCTTGAATTGTAATAAATCCCCATGTGTCGGGGGAGGGACCCAGTGGGAGGTAACTGAATCCTGGGGGTGGGCTTTTCCTGTGCTGTTCTCGTGATAGTGAATGAGTCTCATGAGATCTGATGGTTTTATAAAGGGCAGGTCCCCTGAACACACTCTCTTGCCTGCCACCATGTAAGATGTGCCTTTCCTCCTCCTTTGCCTTACGCCATGATGGTGAGGGCTCCCCAGTCATGTGGAACTGTGAGTCCATTAAACCTCTTTCCTTTATAAACTACCCAGCCTTGGGTATGTCTTTATTAGCAGCATGAGAACAGACTAATAGAGGGACTTTGCAGATGCCACTGGGATTTGGAGATGGGGGATGACCCTGGATTTCTGGGTGTACCTAATGCCATCACAAGGGTCTTCAGGTTAGGGAGGGGGTCAGGACGCCATCCGAGAGCTCAGAAGATGCTGCCCACCGGCTTCCATCATGGGGGATGCGGCACAGACCAGCAATGCGGGGGTTTCTACCAGCAGGAAGAAGCAAAGCAAGGGAATGTCCTCCAGAGGCCCCCAAAAGGCAGGCAGCCCTGCCAATGCCTCGATTTCATTCCTGGGAGACTTATTTCCAACTTGGGGCCTCCTGACCTATAAGGTGATAAGTTTGTGTGGTTTGAAGCCATGTTTCTGGCATTTTGTTAGAGATGCAATAGGGAACTAATACAAATGGGGTGTCCTGAGATTAGAACAGCCGCTTCCAGTGTGACTGAACTTGCTGGTGGCTGCCAGGCTTTATATGTAAACGGGGAGGGCGGTCATGTGGCCACTGCCATGGTCCAGGGAGTGAGGAGGAGGCAGGGACAGCACCCGTGAGGACAGCAGTGAAGGCCGCACTCCAGCGAGACCCTGGATGTCTGCCCTCAGGATGGCGCTGGGCATGAGGGCTCCTGAACTAAACACCCAGCAGTGCCGAAAAAGCCCAGCAAACAGAGCATGGCCCGGGAAGCTGGATGGTTCTGGACGTTATGAGGATGTATGACACTATAACCAGTCTGTAGCTACAGAAAATTCTGCCAAATTAGAGACAAAGCATCTGGCCAAGGGAAGGTGGTCTAAATAAGAGGGCTTGGGCTTTGAGGCGGTCCCCAGAGTTACCAGGGCTGTGATGAAGCCACCAAGGGCTGGCCATCATTTACAAACCTGTGATCTTAATATGTCCCTCTTCATCCAGGAGAATGCTAAAGGAAAGGGAAAGAAAACAGACACTTTAGAAAGAGACCCAGCCCACCAACAGGCACGTGGAGCTCAGGAGGGGAGCTGCGGGGTTCAGGGAGCCCTGACGGAGCTGGCCCGGGAGGTACCTGCAGCTTGTGCACTGGGCTTTCCCATCCCGCCTCCTTCTCCAGAGCTCCCAGCTAAAGATGAACACCTCCCAGACAGAGATGTGTGTTCTTGTGCCTGGGGGACTGCTGGCTTTAGGTCTTCACGGGTCCCCAGGGAAGGTCTGGGAGCCCTCCAGACCACTGTGTGTGAAGCACAGGTGGAGAGGGGCCCGGGAGCCTTGGAGAAGGAATGTTTCTCCAAGCAAGGGCACTCAGGATGCCCTTTCTGTCCAAAAACCCCTTCTTCTCACATGTATCCTCCCGAGCCCTGCCGTGGCTCTCGAGACCCATCCCAGGGGAAGCCAGCACATGCGGGGGTCATGGCACTGAGGAGCTTCAGGCTTTAGCAGGTACATCTTGTGATGGGACCTGGTCCTGGCTCAGCACCCTTGCGGGCCACTGGGTCCCTGTCTTGTTCCCGCCAAGCCCTCCTCACGCCATGTGCCTGATGTGAGAGTTTGCGTTACTCCTCCCAGGTATCCTGCTGTGGGGTGGACCCTCCATTCCCTATAGAATGGAGGCGGGATCTGTACAGGGCTGGGCGCAGGCTTAAATCCCTTCTTCCCTGAATGTCAGGCTGGAGTCAGTCAGTGTGGGCTGTGATATCCTGATGCCCCTGTGGCCCCAAACTTTCCCTATTTATTTTTTTGGCTGTAATTAAATCCTGTTCTTCCAGATGCTGGGAGGTACCAGCCTAGCCCTAAAGAGAACAGAAAGTGGGCTAGAAAGAAGCAAAAGCAAGGCTTGGAGGATGAATCTGTGATAGATACCTTTCCAGAAATCTGTGAAAGGAAGGAAAGACTGAGTCACTACAGCACGGATGAGCCTGGAGGATGCCTCCAGCAATGAGAACTGCCTGTCCCGAAACGACAGGTATGATACGATTTACAAATATAAAATGTATGGTCCCTGGAGGAGTCAAGGTCTTAGAGATGGAAAGCAGATGGTGGGTGTGGGGGCGAGGGGGCTACTGTGCTGGGGGACAGGGCTTCAGTTCCGCAAGCTGAAACCATCCCGGAGATGGATGGTGGGTATGGGGCTCAGCAGTGGGAATGTGCTTGACGCCACTGAGCTGGGTGCTTAAGCATCGTTCAAACTGTAAATGTTATGTGTATTTTTCGACAATAAAAAAAATCTGCCATGGGGTTAAAAAAACACCTACTGTTTTCTGGAAATGGGAAGGAAAAATTACAGCATATACTTAAGATGACGATTTATAATTAACGAGGCAAACGTTTTCATCTTTGACTTTTGGGCACAATCTTTGCCCAGAATGAAGCACCTTTGAAGATTAACTCCCTAATAATTCTGATTGAACAACACAACCTTTTCCTTCAAGGCCGCAATTAAACATGGCTATTTTTAGCTGTGAGGATCACACTGACCTTCAGGAGCAATGAGAACTGGCGCCCACGGCCTGGGTGGATGTTTGGGGTGAGCTGCTAACACTCAGGCATCCACAACCAGGCCGCAGAGGAGAAGCAGGGGCAGTGTCTGCACAGACGCACAACACTCCACTTCCACTTGGAGGGTAATTAACACGGGGTAACTTGTAACTTCTGGGGTGACCTTTGCTGTGACCCAAGGTGACAGGCCAGGCTCTGCCATCATCTCCCGATTAGGGAGGGGCGAAAGGGGAGGCCCAAGGCTCAGAGCACCCCAGCGTTCAAGGTCAGACCCACTTTGAAATGGAAATCTGGCCTTCTGCTCCTGATCCTGGAAGGAGACAGCAGCTGCCAGCAGGCCGCCCTCCTGACGGGGTTACTCAGGCTAAAGTCTTTCATGGGTCTACATTGAGCATCCCTTTTCTGAAGTGCCCGAAATTGGAAATGTTTAGAATTTTTGGATTTTGGAATATTTACTTATATATAATAAGATATCTTGGAGCTGGGCCATAAGTCTAAACAGAAAATTCATTTTTGTTTCACATATACCTTCTACACATCGCCTGGAGCTGATTTACGGAATATGTTAAATAATTTTGTGCGTGAAACCACGTTTGTGTTAAGTACTTATGTGCAGAATTTTCCCCTTGGAGGTGTCATGTTGGGGCTCAAGTTTTGGATTTTGGAGCATTTCGGATTTTGGGTTTTTGGATGAGGGATACTCAAGCTGTATTTACACATGTATTCAGTTCACATGTGCAGCTGTGACGTTCCACGGGCTGGTGGTGACGTCAGAGCATTATGCACATGGGCAAGTGCATTTTACATCGTGCGCTGGACACGGGACACGACCTGGCTTCTGAGTAAACCGAGGTGTTTCCCATCAATGACAGCCGCATGAAACAACACCAGCTTCCGAGCAGGGCTTGTCTTTTCTCAGTTCCATGCAGATGACAGGGCAGGAAGGTGGAGTAGCGGCTGGGACCTGTTTCCAGACCCCGGGGCCCCCTTGGTCTTAGCTCACAGGCTTGGGGTGGCCTGGTGGCACCCAAGGCTGGTTGGTCCCACCAGGCCACAAGGTGATGCCTCATCTAGGGGTGGCTGTGGGCCCTGGTCTGGGTGGGTGGCATGAATCGAGGCAGTGAGGAGTGAGTGAGACAATCAGCTACTTCCCCTCAGGGACACCGGCGAGGTCAACTGAACCTAAAATACCATCCTGCAAATCTCTTATTCTCTAACTGGATTACTCCTAGTTATATGTCAGGTCTGCAAAGAAAATGTGAAAACAACATCAAAACTAAAATGGGAACACTATTATTTTGGAGGGACTTCAGTGTTTAAAAATTTAGAATAGATTAGCAAAATATTCTAGAAATAACAGTCTCACAGGTCACCATGGCCAAGGATACACAAATCTCAGTGGACCTGGCCTAGGGATTCTGGGGCCACTGTCTTTTAGGGAACTTCTTGAGACAGCTCTCTGACTGGGTGCCTAGAGGTGGGGCCAGCAGGTGACTGAGTAGAGGTTTGTGACCACATTCCTTGGGCTTGCTGAAACAGCTCAAAGGGCTGCCTGGATCTGGAGGATGGCAGGGAAGAGATGAGAGAGGAGGAGAAACTTGCCTGGAGGCAGCCATGTTTGAGATGGTCCCCAGTGGCCGGACAAGCCTCACCCAGGAGAGTGGGCAGGAATGTGGGTCAGGGTCGTGGGTGTGCCATGCCCCTCCCCAGCTCCGGCTTCCCGGCTTCCTGTGCATCACAGACACGCACCTGGGCCGGGCCTCCCTCGGACGTTATGAGTGTCAGGTGGGAATGGGCCTGGGCGTTTCCTGTGCAAATCAGCAAAGCCACACCTGCATCTGGGCCCTGATGCCTGAGCGAGTCTTGCCAGCACAAGAGTATCCCCAGCCCGCTCTCTGATATGTCCTCATTTAGGAAATAAATACCTTGCAATGGCTACCAACACGGCCCAGCAAAAAACACGGAGCCGATGGGTGTGGGGAAGTCAGCCCTAGTTTCTTCTCACTTACTTCTCAGGCTTCAGATCTCTATAGATGATCCCCAGGCTGTGGAGATGGTCTAAAGCCAGGGCCAGCTCAGCCAGGTAGAACTTGACGTCCTCCTCTGTGAACATTACCTAGTAAGAGAGGAAAAACAAACCACTTAACCTGTTTTTTGGCTGGTGTGTTTTAGAGAACTCTGCCAGAGAGCCCGAGAGTCCACACTTAGGTGGGTTTGCTCCGTGCATGGAACATCGTGGCCCCCCAGAGTGCTTTTCTGACTCTTCTCGTGGAAAAGTGAGTTCCCTGTATAGTTCTAAGATCAGCAGACAGAGACCAGGGCTTCCTGCAAAGGTGACTCATGCAGGTTTGTGAGTGGGGTGCTCAGGTTCAGCTGTCCCCTCTCTGTCCTTTTCGTCCCTGCAAATCATTTGGCTCTGGGGTGGGTTTCTGGGTTTATATTCTGACATGAACGCTGCTGATGTGAACTCATAACAATTTTAACACGAGTAACTAAACCACACTGTGAGGGCTTGATGGGAAGTTACTGAAAATGGCTCCCAAATATCACTCTTTCCCCACGGATTTCTCCACTCCTTGGGTCGATGCAAACTAGTAGCCGATGTAACCTGCTGTAAACCCAAAGAGGAAGATCACACACAGGCGGTGTGGAGTCAGCTATGGGCGGCCCAAGCTGCTCAAGGGAGGCGGGGTGGAGAGGGGCTTCTGGGTGCTGGGGCAGGCGGCCACATACTGGGCTCCCATGTGGTGGGACAGCTCAGGGCTCGGAGGTGACGAGGTGGGGATGCCCTACGTGTCCAAGTGCCAGGGACACGCTCACTCGGGCCGGCTGAAATAAGCATGAGGCCTCGGAGCCCAACAGACTTCAAGGCCATTGTGTCATCATGACTCATCCCTGCCCCCAACTTGTGAGAATCAGTGTATATGTTTTGAAGACCCCTGAATAGGAAGCGGAATCATGACCACAAGCCATTTTCTACATTCGTCATGAGAAATCAGCATCATGGAGACTACACGTCCACATGATGACTGAAGTCTCTCTCGGAAAGCAGACATGAAGAATCAGCATGCCGCCAGAAGCCTGCCTGGCAAGCACCAAATTAGCAGGGTAGCCGGGGGCCTGGACAGTGAGTGGCGTCAGGTGGGAGCCAGGCATCCACTTCACACAGGGGATTCCTCCACGTGGCTGGACACGCAGGCTCCACGTCCCAGCCATCTGCCAGCCCCCCGAGTCCCCTGTTCTCCATTCCGCGCTTGGCCAGTGCCTTTCCCAGATGGATGTTTCTTTTCCAGATTGCTTAATGTGCTCAGTGGACTGACTTTCAGCAAGTTCTGCTGGTGGCCTTGTTCTTTCCTGACTTGGCATAGCCACACGTGGATCACCATGGGTTTTGTGTGTAATTTAGGGCTCAGCAAACCTGTCTTTCCACTCCCCCAGCTCTTAGTGTAAGCCCCAAGGACAAGAGCAGGAAGTTTCTCTACAGAAAGGAAACACCTCCCGGGTGTGTGTTCTGCAAGTTCGCCGGCACAGTGACCGTCCTGTAAGATGCTGAACCCCGTACTTGCTGAATGAGAGGACCCAAGGAAAAGACTTTCCGCAGGTTGCCAGCAGCTCCATGAGTCTGTGATGCCCACCCTGGACAACTTTCCTCCTCCTCTGAAATAAAGGCTCTCAGAGGAGACACATATTCCCATACGAGGAGCTGCCACGATTTTTGCCAATTACTGCGGTCTTTTTGGTCAAGGAGCCCAACCACAGGCATGTCATAGCAGCTGCTGGACAAAACCAGACCCCAGATGGACTGACTCCCTGTGGATGAGAGGGGAGTGGACAAACCAAGAGATGGTATCACATGAGGAATGGGCAGACGCCAGACTCTGGCAGCTTTGGAAATGGGCACACACCTGAAGGGGCCGGACGCAGGTCCCCAGGGGCTTTGTGTAGGGCTTGGATCAGGTTCTCCTGGCCCAGTGTTTTTCGTCCGTGCAAGGAGCCCCAGAGATACCTGCGCTGCTGGACGCAGAGGGACAGGGCAGCCATGTTCTCTGGGACCCTCTGCTCCCGCTTCCAGAGCCACTCTGCCTTGCTTTACTATCCATTTGTGGCTTTGTGCAAGACAAAGGGGTTTCCTGCTGAAAATGGGAAGGTGGGGAAAGGGAGTGGGGGTGTGAAGGCACCCCGCTGGGAAGTGGGTGTCAGGAGAGCTGGGGCTGCTCTGCCTGGGGCTTCAGATGCCCTTGCTAGGCCACTCCTCCTTTGTGTCAGAGAAGAACAAGTAGGACTGTCAGAATGGAAAGCCGGGCAACGGCACTGCCATGGGCAGAATCTGCCTTTGGCAGAATCTGCCTTTCCCATCCCATGAAGTGGGGTGCTTTTCACGTCCACCTGGGCCACAGGGCTCTCAGGCTGCAGTGAAGCTGCAGCCTGGAGAGTTCCTACCGAAGGCAGTGGAGGTCAAGAAGAGACCCTGGCATGTGCAATTGCAGTCATGAGACAAAGATGGGGTGCGAAGACCACACCCGATGCTCCCGAACACCCCCAGATGTGCGGGCAGCATTGCACGAGCTACATCTTCCCAGGAAGGAAAGTGAGACCCTGTGAGAGTCTTTCCCAGCTGTTCCTATCCACTGACCTGTGCCTTCCTGTGCTCTAGCTGGGAGGCCAACAGCGTGACTTATGGTCCTGGAGCTGCAGGGCTGCGTCAGGGCCACCCGGGACTGTTGCTAGGGCTGCTTATGTGGCTTCCTTAGAACTAACCAGCAATGCACACAGCACGCCAAACACGCACACACCCACATCACACATAGCACACACCACACTTACTACATACCGCACCCACAGCCACCCACACACATACACACACCCCACACATGCACACAGCACGCCAAACACACACACACCCACATCACACA